CTCAGTAATTAAGAGAGCTTTCTGCTCTTGCAGAGGACTTAAGTTCAGTTCCCAGAACCTATCACAGATAGCTCTCAAGAACCAGCATTAGGGCCTCCCAGTCCCCTGGTCTCCCACAACTGCCCTCATGTAATACACACTCCCCCCACACACTCACAATTAAAAATAATACAAACCTTTATAAAATGCATTTTCTATGATACTGGTATCATTAAAACCAATCCCATATACTTCCCAGTATTTTCATTATAGATATTTTTAGTATTAGAAACCATTTATTTATTAATATAATGTAAAGATGATATATTTCATTGAATAACTATACCAGAATAATTTCCCTAATGTTAGGTATCTATGAGACTCTCAGATTTAAATTATATGACTTTTTAAAACTGACTATCCTTTGGATTATGTCCTGATTAAAGCATCCTACACACATATATTTTTAAGGCTCCAATTGCTTCTTTATAATTTTTTCTAAAGTCTATTATATAAGCAGATGAGAATCAATTAAATGATATTGAATGTTGTTTTTAATTATGTGATTATAAAGATTACATTAACAATTAAACTTTTAATTTTCAACTTTTTGATTATTATTAAAACTTCTACAGGTTCTTAGTCAAACTGTGTTTAATAATTTTATGAATTACCTGTATCATTTGCTCATTGGCCTTTGGTACATATTGTAAAAGTTTTCTTTCAAGGTTGTGTGAAGGCCTTAAACCTGTATAATAACCAGGTATCACAATAGGAGCAAAAGATATCATATGAATTATTTTTCAATTAAAAACCAGAAAACACCACGACATCCGTGTTTCCACATTGTTGATTATTTGTATCCCAAATCCCATTCAAGATGCTGCTACTCTGTTTCAGCTATATATGTTTAATGCTTTCTGACAACTGACCATGAACATATGTGAACATGCATGGTACTGAACATCTGACTTCACCACATCGTGCTAACAACTAGGGCATCATGCCACTCAGAAAATCCAAGGATTTTACATCCAGCCAATTATGTACAAAACTTATTCAAAGTAGGGTTTAAAAGATTTTTTTAAAACTCAACTTAGACTGGAATACTGAGCAATGCCTCACTACTGTTGAATATCTTTGGTGAGGTTTTTAAGTTTTACCTTGGCATTCTCCTGCTGGCTTTGACGGTGAGCTTAGCACTGCGTTTGCTAGTCCTATCTCTGAGAAACTTTGAGGTACTTTTGGCATTTAATCTGCATTGTAAATGCAGTCTCATTTCTCCTTCTGCACATCTCATTTCTTACTTTCATAGGCTAGTTCCCTTTTCTTTCAAGCATCAGTAAAATGTAACATTTGCTAACAGGAAGGTCTACTTATTTTCCTACATGCATGAGACATGATATGCTTAGAGAAAAGGCTATTAAAGAAGCGTTTTTAAAACTGAACTCTACATGGGAATAATACAACACTCAGTTTTAAAATGTTTCTACTTCTTTGATAATTTACCTCTGTGATCAGCTGCTGGAAGCCTTCCTCTCTTTTTTTGTTTTTTTAATTACTTTATAAATAATACCAATCAAAATTCCCACTTCCTCCCCTCCTCTCACTTCCCTCCCACTCCCCCACACACCCTCCCCCCTCCAGTTCTAAGAGAGGGCAAGGCACCCAGCCTTGTGGAAAGTCCAAGGCCCTCCCCCCTCCATCCAGGCTTAGGAAGGTATGCAGCCAAAGAGAATAGAATCCCCAAAAGCCAGTACATGCAGTGGAGACAAATCCCAGTGCCATTATCATTGCCCCCTCAGTCTGTCCCAATTGTCAACCACATTCAGAGGGTCCAGTTTGATTGCATGCTCCTTCATTCCCAGTCCAGCTGGATTTGGTGAGCTCCCATTAGCTCAGGCACACTGTCTCAGTGGGTGAACCAACCACTCATGGTCCTGACTTCCTTGCTCATATTCTCCCTCCTTCCGCTCTTCATCTGGACCTTGGAAGCTCAGTCCAATGCTCCGACGTGGGTCTCTGTCTTTGTCTCCATCTGTCACCGACGAAGGTTCTATTCAAGATAGTCATCAGCTTGACTATGGGACTAGGCCAGTTCAGGCACCCTCTCTTCCACTGCCCAGGGTCAAAGCTGGGATCATCCCCGTGGACTCCTTCCTTTCTCATCTATAAAGTAATAATTCTAAAATACGCACATAATCTAAGATCAAACAACAGTAATCTATAACATAATATATGTATATAATCGTGTAAAAATCCACTTGTAAATGCATCTACCCTTTATGATGCACACCTACATTCATATTTGGACCGAACATATATTTCTGGAAGGTTCATTACGGTTTAAGAATAGTTTTCTTACCCTGACAGTAGATCCACAGAAGACTCAGGCTCTCAGAGTCCCCCTAATTCTAAAATGATAGCGCATGATGTGACAGGGACAGTGATGAATTCAATTAGCTTGCTGTGAGTAGGGCTCAGGATCTGAAAGATAAAGGAGGGGACATTCCTTGAAATTTTTGTTTTCCAATATATTAAAATGCCCTTTTTCATTGCACTGTTTAAAGAAATTGCTAACACAGAATAAAGAATAACCTAAATCAGTATTGCGCTACACCATGCAACTGAATACTGAAAAAGAAAACTGCCACACAGCAATATTAACACACACAACATGCATACATGTAATAATAATTAATTAAATATGGGGACAGTAATTGAAAGAGAGTAAGGAGGGGTATACAAGAGGGCTTGCAGGGAGGAAAAGAAAGGAAAAAGTGATGTAATTATAATCTCAAAAACTAAAAGGAAAATTGTATGTAAATCTATTTCAGAATTAGGTTATAGATTCATATGATGGCATTCCTTTTACTTCTCTTCACTTTTGTTTGGGTCTAGGAACTGCACCAGAAAATGAATCTTCCTGCTCACTTTTACAAAAGTGAAAAGCAGCCGTGATGATGACAGAGTACTACTGTGTCTGGCTAAGGTGTAGATGTCTGATGTCACTGGTGTTTTCCCACTGGAGACACACTTGAGTGACATCTTCCCACCCCATAACACAAGCTCGAGTGACGTCACTGGCGTCGTCTTCCCCAGGAGACAAGCTTGAGTGATGTCACTGGTGTCATCCATCAACTGGAAAATCTAGAGAGCTGGGTCTCCCCAGATGTGATCCAATAACTACCTACTTTGCTTAAATTTGTGAATATGGATAGTTAAAAGGTAATTAAAGTGAAAATCCAAGGTTGAAAACAACATTATGTTGTTGTTGTTGTTTTTAAGGGTTATTTTTGTTTGTTTGTTTTGGGAGATTTTTTTAAATCAGAGTCTAGAATAGCAATAATTTACCAATCTTAGTTATTAAAATAATGTTTTTAATAATAAATCATCAAAAAGTTAAAACATGGTATATAGAATAGCTGAGAATTCCAGATAAAACTAGCATAGCAAGGGTGGCTTGAAGAATAGAAACAAGTTTGGCCGGAAGGCTCAGTGGGTAACGAAATAAGCTGCCAAACCTGGTGTCTTGATTTCAATGCCCAGAACCCACATGGCGAAATGAAAGAACCAGTTCGTCCATGCTGTTTTCTGACTTCTATGCATAAAATGTCACACTCACATAAACACACACACACACACACACACACACACACACTCACTCACACACACACACACATTCACGGGCACACACATATTGTGACACACACGAATGGAAAAGAAGTGCTAGTAAATTCAATTTACATTGAGGGCTTCTCCCTGGCGTGTAGAAGACCATTTTCTCAGAGAGTCTTCCTCACATTGTCTTTCCTCTGTGCATACTACATGAAGTGATGGAGAGAGAAAGGAGGAGAGGAAGGCAGAAAGAGAAGGGAAGAGGCAGGGAGGGGGTGGACACAGGAGACCAATGAGCCGTGTTTCTTCATCTTTGAAGAACTTCAGTACTGCTGGGTGAAAACTCTGCCATTATGGCCGGACATAACTTTTACTACCCACTTAAAGACTGTTCTCCAATTAGCCAGACTGGAAACTGAGGCGTCATCTTATTAATGATGGGGCAGGAGACTATTCAATTGTAACACCAGGAATTTATTGAGATACACCAAATATGGAACAAATCTTTATTTAGGTCAAACTAGCAATACTCTACAAATTTCCTAAGTCCCAGTATTCTCATATTACTAGTATTTTATTTCTTCCTCTCAAGATAGAAATGCAAAGCTAATAACCCAATCTAGCCAGAAAATCAATGTTGAAACAAGAATCTGACTAATCCCATTATAAAAGAATTTCTATCAATTGTAACACCAATTTTATAAACTCTTGATGTGTTTTTAAAGCACTGTACAAGAATTTCATGCAAAGAGAAAGTTTTCCTTTTACTAACGACAATAAACTAGCTAGTATTAGACTGAGATTCTTGAATTCATTAGTATTCCAAGATGAAAGTAAAAATTAAGCCTTAAAATTGTGGGTAGAAATTTACATAACAATGTGTAAATTAAAACGAAACTTGAACCTGCATATATTTAAGGAAATTGCTGGTAATTTAACTGTCTGCTCACACACAAATCAACAATTCTCAGGAAAAAAATAGTCAAAAATTTAGATTCTCAACAATGTATCATTCAAAATATCTACTATGCAATTTAAAAAGTACTAGAAATGCCAAGAAGCAAAACGTATAATCCCTAGTCAAAAGATAAAAGTGCCAATGAAAGATCCCAAGCTGGCCTAGATGATAAAATTACCAGGCAAGTACTTTAAAAGAGATAATGATACAGGTATCATGATGATGATATGTCCATGATCAAAGGTGATCAAAATGAGTGAATAAGTGCACGAACCTCAGAAGAAACGTAAAATTATATAAAATAATTAAATAGAAATTGTAGATCTAAAAGGAACTATGGGCATTGTGAAAAGTATTTCCAATTCATTTGTAATACAAGACAGAAACACTGTAGAAGACACGCCCTTAGAATTCCTTCAAGTTCCAAGTTCTAATATTGAATGGAGGAGGAGATGCAGAGCCACGGGAGCTTTCCTAAGTTACCAGGACATGTGTGAAATGGCAGTAAGGCAGCTACAGTGTGAATGGAAGTTTAAGTCTTTCCTTATCAGGTAAAATATAAATCTATTCTGGGACTGAGTTCTCTGAGGATTTTTTTCAAGAGAAGTGAAAATGTAAGTCCACACTCATATTTGCACACAAATGTTAAAGCAAAATAAATCAAATGCCTATCAATGAAGCGTTTATCAACTGAGATCTCTTTATGGAATGAAATACTGCACAACAATACAGAAAGAAGATGTAGTAATGTACTGCATGGTAACTAATGAAAACGTGTTTTCTGAAAGAAACCAGTAAACACACACACGCGCACACACACACACGCACACACACACACACACACACACACACACAGACTACGGCTTCTTTTATAGACAAGTTATTCCTATAAACACTCAGTTAGAATTAGAATGTTTACTATGTAAAGAATAAAGATTGGCAAAAAGGGGACTATGTAACTTTAAGGAGTGATGAAATGCTCCATATCTGATTTAAATTAATGCTCAGATGTCTGTATTCATCCATTGCTGTCAAAAAGTTCTATTCATATTTTATCATGAGAAAATGGTGTAAGAATAAGTGTGAATTATGTTCACATAGAATTTAAGTTATCTAGCAGCATTAGAGAATACATGATCATACTGTATGAAAAGCCATTACTATATAGAGTTCTCCATGCAATCAGATGCCATAAATAACAAATGCTAAAAATAGAAAGCAATGAGAATACAAAAGGAACAAGGAATTTTTCAATCTTACAGTACAGCACTTACTTTGAAAAGGGGAAACTCCAAGGATACTTTCTGTTCCTTCTTAATTTTCTTTTTTGCCTTCAAGTTTCAAGTTTGGGTTTTAAGTGGAAGAAAATTCTAACTGGTCCCCTACTTCAAATGATTTGGCTCAAGTGGATTCTAGCAAGGAAAAGAATATTGCTACAACATAAGAGTAAGAATTTCACATTCAGTTCTGCCTACTGCATGGCAATTAAAAACAAGCTATACATTTTAAAAGATAATTCACATTTAGAGAAAAAACTTGCCATTAGAATTTCATGGTTAAAAATAAGTAAGTCATTAAAGATATTCTCATCTCTCGCTATATATTAGAGTCACCAAAAGTGCTTTTGGAATATTGTAGATTAATGCTTAAGCCTGAATTTTGAGGGTTAATAACCTTATTGAAGTATGAATTTCCTGAAAGGTAATTTGTTTTACTTTTCATATGTTTGATTATTAATTAAAAATGTGATGGATAAATGAATAATTATGGGATAAACTATGATAAACTAATTAAGAATGTAGGTTTTACATATAATGGCTGACTTTCTCTATTAGATTGTATTTATTGTTTTTGTACATACAGATCCACATGGCATGTGTGTGGAGATCAGAGAACTTCTTTTAGTAGTCTGTTCTCTCTTCTCACTATATGGGTTCTGGGGATGAAACTCAGTTCATTAGGATTGACAGCAAATATTTTTACCCACGAAGATAACTTGACAACCCTCCCAACTTCTTATAGATGTGGAAAACAGGAGTAACAAATACTCATTTTACAGAAACGTTTGATAATTTGCACTCGATTGAACTGAAAATTGTTTTTCCATTTTTATGTAGCCCTCCTATGGTTCAGATTCTGCACTCAGAGGATGGCACACATATGCGACTTCCTAATGACCCTGCATTTGAAACAATTTTCTGATCTAGTGTATTAGAATACAACCTACTAACAAGTATTGGGTATTAGTTTATTAAAAAGCAAATATTTTCCATTCCTTGACATTTAGTAAACACTCATTTGTGTCATAAAAGTATTTGTCAGGATATACTGCTGCAAAAATAAGGAAACAAAACATCCTTAAGTCTTTACTCTCTGGTGAAGGATAAAGAAAACAAGTGAAAAACGGGAGCCAACTGTAATAATTGCTGTGAGGAAATGATTGTCCTGTGAAGGGGACTCTTAGTTTGTTGGAAGCCACTGCTTTATATTATGTGACTAGAAAATTACCCAGCAGGGAGGACGGATTTACACTGAGATATTAACAATGGGGAAAAAAAAAGCTAAGATAAAAGTGCTAATTGTGGAGAACTCCAAGCAGAAAAAAAAACAGTGTATTCAAAATACTTAAGGTGGAAAAGAATTTAACGTGTTTACGGACTTGAGGAAAAAATTCAATGACTGGATCATAAATGAAAAAAAAAAACTTGAAGGTAGAATAATAGATGGGAATAGAAAGTCCACAGCTTGGAAAGCATTATAAGTGGCTAGAGTATTTTATACGTACATACACTTATAATTAGAAAGAATAGAGTTTATACTATTTGGAATACAATATTAAAGTATTGCTTGGGTTTGAGCAGGAGAATGGCATGATGCATCTTATATATTAAAGAGGTTATTCCATTTCCCCAGTGTTGAATACACTAGGGAACCAAGCAGAGGTTTGGGACCTAGTAAAGGCACGGTCGCAGTTTAGGAGATAGACACTGGTGATGGGCAGTGTTTCGAAGCAGTGGCTGTGAACATGAGGTAGTGAGCAGCTTATATATGTGAAGAGGGTCGAGAGGCTTTGCTGAGGAAACATGTGTGAAGGAAAAGAAGTCAACATTGACTAAAATCTTCTACTGTACAAGATAGAAAGACTGAGGAAATAGCTGCATGGATGCGAAAAATAGATCAGTTTCAATATGTATAGTTGAGTAGAAAAGGATCCTGGAAAGAAAGAGAAGTGAGAAAATACTGAAATGGAACACAAAAGTTAATAGTCACAGAGCACAGCAAAGTGAAAGTTGCTAGCAATTTTGGCTAAGCAATTCCAGTACAATTTGGGGAATAAAACTCAGATTGAAAATGCTGATCACTGAAGGAAAAATGAGGCTGCTGAGGAAACAGTAGTAAATAAGTCATTCAGGTTTTGTTTTGAAAAAAAAGCAGAAAATGAAATAAGATATGGAGGAGATCTTGTGTCAAGAGGAGACCCTGAACCATAGCTGTAATTTGGTGGAGGTGCTCTGATGTAATCAAGAGACTGATAGCCCAGGAAGTGAAGGTATAATAACAAATGAGTAGGAAAGCAGCCTGGTAAATGAGGATATTCTCAAAAGATTGACAGCCAGTACAGGGCAAACTAGAGATGGAGAGGAGAGAACGTAGCATGGGTGGAAATACAATCACAAGTATATGAAGCAGCAGCCAGGGAGTCCAAGAGGAATGATGAATCATTTTCTGAGGAAGAAGCATGCTTGGAAATGAATGGCAATAAGCACAGGGAGACTCCATTTTTCGTGGAGAGCATGTGATAGCTCTTTTTCTGAAAGAGCATGTGATAGAGGACTTTGTATTGTGTTAAGAAACAATTGCAGCAGTCAAAATAACGATCAGGTCACCAGAGCACTGACACAACGAATGAGTTAAGTGATACTGCAGAAACAAATTCATCATCTTAGAAATGGGTTATTTTCTTAAAGGAAGGGAAACCTTTAATTTCCTGTCCATTTTCCTTTTGTTCTGTCCTTCTTTTCTCCTGTCCTCTGTTCCATCCCTTTCCAGCCTTTCTGCCTTTGGCCATGACACAATAAAGGCTCTTGACAGATTGCCCATGTGGAATGCAGTCCCCAGCGTAAGGGAAAGAGAGAGAGTTGGTGCAGCACTTCTGTTAAATATTTAGCAATACTAAATGACTAAAATTGGTTATGAAGAGTCCAAATACTGAAGAACAAAGTCAAATTTTCTTTGCCTGTTCTTTTTTCTATTACTGTGAAAACTTCATGAAAGTGTTACACATCATTTGGGGAACCTAAACCTGTCTTCCTAGGACATTGTCACTCATACTTGGCTACAGAATAAATGATATTTTTCTTTGAGGTGAGAGCTGTGCTTTCTTATCAACACCAACCTATTGATTGTGGTTTTCCCAGCTTCCAGAAATATAACAAATAAATCTGTGTTATACAATATCCAGTTGACAATACTCTATTAGAACCATTCATAAAAGACTAAAATATAAACATAGATGTAAGTATAAAAATATGTTTTGTTGTCTTTGAAAGCTATATTGGATAGTACAGTCAGGGAAAAGTAAGGAAACAAAATTTGAAAGTTCTTTTTTTTAGTTCAGTATTTTGATAGTAATAATCATTAATACTTTCTTGAGTTACAAACATCAGAAATCAACTAGGTCAACTTAACAATAAAATAAATAATGAAATGAAGGTGTTGTATAATAAAATGATACAGAGCTCTGGTAAAATTTAACAGCATAAATGACTTGGGAGCTTGGAAAGAGACTAGAATATTATCCGGTTTTTCACCAATCTCCCCTTTCCCTTTCTAATCTGCATGCTTCTTCTTCAGCCTAAATCACTGAAATTTGATAATTCCAGGAATTATCCAGGATAACTTCAGGAATGTTATGTAGAGGTAGAAAGGATAGTCGTTCTCTGGAAAAAAAATAACTGACAGAAAAGGTAAAACTACAAGAAGAATTTAAAAAGTAGGCAGAGGTACCTGGAGATAGATGTGTATTGGGGAGAGAGAGAAAGAGAAAGAGATGAATAATGTCCAACTCTTCTGGGAAGGAATATAGGACATGAGCTGGAAAGAGGCTGAAGTATTTGATAAGCACATTAGTGTGGGAAGTCCTTCTGTATATGTGTTGCTTTTATTGGTTTTTAAAGACGCAGATCTCTGCCAGTGGCTTTTCAAAATAGAACTAAGCCAATGACCTAAAACAGATTTGCCATCAGTTTGGAGTGCCAAACGTGGCTTAATTATATCCACATAAAAGCTGAAAGAGTTTGGGAAGGAACTCTAGGCACAAAATAAAGAGTTTAGTGCAGTTTCTTGGTAGTCACAAATATTTTCCCCCACCATGGGCTCACAGCCAGCAGGGACACCTAAGCTCCTTTAAGAGAAGTGCAGTTAAAAACTGTATGGCTTCTTAAAAAATGGCAACTTCTGGATTCACCAGCACAACCTGCTCCAACTCTTTTGGGAGGTTTGGCTATGTAGCATTTGAATGGGGATTGTGAACAAAGTCTTACAATTTGCTTAATGGCAACATAGACCTGCCGTGTGCCTGAAAATGGAGCAATGTGTATGGTTCTCACTCAGAGGCAACGAACAAGCTTCTGTCCTGTTGGACTAGGCAGAGCCAACAGAGTTAGTCAGAGCCATAGAGTTAGTCCTAGCCATGCCTGCCTAGCATTAAAAAAAAAGAAAAGTTCTCCTGGTCAAAAATAATTACAGATATGCAGGCAATAAAAATAAATCCAGATGGAAAAGACCTCTAAATGGGTAACAGTATTGGATAAATATACATAGGCTTGGAAGCGAAAAGATAGAGTACAGAGTTATAAAAAGAAATAAAGTGTTTTAAAAAAATAAAACAAAGTCATTAAAGAGACAGAGTACAGTCATAGATTAAAGGAGTAATGAAAAATAACTCAGATAAAGATGTAATACACACACACAGAGTCTGGATTATGTATATGATTGTGGTTTTTTTTTAATTTTTTGACTGCAGAGAGACATTTCTTTGTATGGACTGCTAAGCTAAACCAACATATATATTTTAAAGGTATCTTGACTTCAAAATTTGGGTCTAAGATTATGTTGCTTTCGAATAAAGGTTCTTTTGTTGAATGAAAACCTGTGGATTCCTTCCAGACTACTGGTTTGATGGCCCAATACCACATAAAAGATTTCCATAAAAACCCCCAAAATACTTCACCCAACCAAAAGCAGGAAGCATTTTGAAGAGAACTATGTCCAAATTCCCAAATATTATTTATAAATGTTTATTTACATTTAAAGGGAAATATGCTATAGAGATTTTCATTTTTATGGATCTTGGTTTATTGATACAAATTTAAGATCAATTTTGTACGCTTGTGCAACTCATTTAAAAATGTAATGTATAATTAAGAAATACAGGTTAATGGATAGTCATCTATAATAAGCAAGCTTGTATTCATGTTACTTAGGTTTTCTAGATATAAAGAAATATATTTCAGTTAGATAGATATTCTTCAAATCTTTCAGAGACCTTCAGAATATGGCATTTTAAATGTTTTAAGAGCTTAAGACTTTTTATGACAATGAGACACATCTGCTCCTGGCAGCACCAATCTACTTCAAGAGGATGATGGGCATTGAAGAGTCTCCTTATGGAGTTTGTTAGCCATTTGTGCAAGAAACTGTTCTTGCCTAAGCTACTTGACTGGACTTGAAGGACCCACAGAAAAATGACTGCTGAAGCTGCCTAAAGAAGGTGAGACAGTCCTTCAGGCTTCCTGCTTCATGGAAGAGTCTGCCAGACATTCTTTAGGACACAGAAAAAAGTGATTGACAAACCGCCAATATGGGTAAAACTGTCTTTGAAATTTCCTGCTTCATGGAAAAGTCTACCGAATACTATGAGCCAGTAGGCTGAAGATTGGATGCCCCCACGTTATAGAAGAATTTTGGATGACTGTCCAGGCAGCGAGATTTCTCTGTCAATTCTAGAATTTTAGAAGTTGCTTATAATGTACTTTCTATGTACTTAGGAAATATTATATCCTTCTGGGATCCTTTATGGAGTTGAATAATAGATAGTTATAGTTTCCCTTAGTTATGATAAAAGATCAAGTATATATAAATATTGTAACTGTAATTCTTGTTTGATACTTGTTTTGTTATATCTAATTTTACTATATTAAAGTTAAAACCTTCCTTTTATTTAAACAGAGAAGGGTAAATGGTGTGGGAAGTCCTTCTGTGTATGTGTTGCTTTAATTGGCTAATAAAGAAGCTGCTATCAGCCCCTGATTTAGCAGAATAGAGTTAGACGTGAAAACTAAACTGAATGCTGGGTGAAAGAAGGCAGAGTCAAGGAGATGCCGGGTAGATGCCAGAGGAGAAAGCCATAAGTCTTCAGTTGGAACCTTGCCAAAAGGCCATGAGACTCGGAGTAAAATATAAAATAATAGAAATGGGTACTTTAAGATATAAGAGCTATCTTGCAACATGCTTAAGCTATTGGCCAAGCAGTATTTAATTAATACAGTTTTGTGTAATTATTTTGGGTCTGAGCAGCCCAGAATGAACAAGTAGTCTTCTCCAATAGCACATCATTGCTGACCTTTCTCAGAACACTGTAAGCAGAATGCCCAGGTTGGAAGTCAGGTCACACTGGGAATTGAGAAGTACCTGGGAGAGAAGGGGAGAGCCTAGGGCATGCTCTTTGCAAAAACTGTACACTAACTCAAACACCTGTCAATCAGTTTATAATGATTTGTTCTTTTCAAATCTATTTCTATCTCTGTATTGGTAGGAGTAAAGTAAATCAATGGTAAAGCTCCAATTAAACCACAGACTACTTACTCACATATTTCCAGAGGTCTCCTTATGTTTAGGCAAATTAATTTTGTGGCCTTTTACAAAAGTATATTCAGTGCTGTAATTTCTCAACTTTATTTCTACTGGTTTCTGTGTCTCTAATGATTTCTCCCACTACCATTCTTTTTTCCTTCATCTCAACTCTCAGACACATGACCTTTTTGCCAATCTCATTAAAGCCTGCACTCATTTGCTCAAGTTTCCTATCAATCGAGGTAATTGCTTCCTACACGAAACTCAGTCTTCCATTAACTAGCTCATTACCTCAAGTTAAAAGTTCAGAAACTTTCTCAAACTGAAATCACTGCAGTGTCCTGAAAAGAAACTACTTTTTGAAGATGCAAGTCTATCTGTAAACTAAGAATATTTAAATTGGATTTCCTGATGGACAAACCCAACGTTTGTCAATCTGGTTCCTATTTGTACCCCCCTTTTCCTCCCTCACTACAGGGGCACATTTGCTACTTCTTAAGTCATAACAGTGACTGGTAAGCATGGTTTTTTTATTGAGGACAAGCTCAGCAAACGTTCTGGTTACAGTTCTACCTGTGATAATGCTCTTCAAAAAAGGAATTCTATTAAGATATCTAGAGTTCTCTTTTCAAATAAAGACAATTAGCTCAACAAACATTTCTACTCATTGTCCATGCTAACTCGTTTTATCGTTCAATTTGATTGGCTGATCTCACTAATTTTAAACATCTTTAAAATTTTTTATTTTTTTTGTTATGTGAAAAAGTCCAAGAGTCATAAAGTTTTTTGGGGGGGAAATTAAAGATGCAATAAAAGAAATGCTCAGAATCCATTATGCTTAAGGATTAACTTAAATTCTTCTTTGGTAACCCAGATAAACATTTTCTCTAATAGTCTACTTAAGCTCAAGATGTACATCACTCAAGTGGAAAACATCTAAAAAGAACTAAGGCTGGGCATGGTAGCATGTGCTTGTAATCTCAGCACCTGGGGCCAAAGGCAGGAGCAGTACTGCCAACCATTCAAGGCCAACCCATTCTACATAGCAAGATACAAGTTAGCCAAAGATATATAACCATGTCGTGTACCTCCTGCATGCAGAAAAGTTAATAAAAATATAAAATAAATAAATAAATAAATAAATAAATAAACCCCAAATGCATAATCAATTGCTCTGGCTAATGTGAATATTTTTTATGATTGTATGCAAGAATTCTTTCTATAGCCTAGATACAAGTACTTGCAAGGTATATATGACACCAAACATTTTCTCTCATTCAGTGCCTCACCAGTTTGCTCCCTTTTAGGAATTTTATATACATTATATCCACAAGTGCTATTCACATGACAGTAAAGTACTAAGATTTTCTTCTTGACCTTTTGTAATTTGGTGTTTTATACTCGAACTTTGTTGTTAATACTTTCTCTTTCACAGCATGGGGTACAAATTGAAATACGTTTTCAAATGGTTGTCCAACTAGCTTGGCTTAGCTTTTTTCAAAATAGAGCATCCTTTTACCACTAAAATTGCATTTGCATTTTAGTGGGGAAATCCAGGAATTTATTTGTGTATACCCAGCATTCCCAAACTTCCTCTCATGTTCTATTGATCTATTTGCTTACATTTGTGCCAATGTCACACTTCCCTAATTAATTAATTAATTAATGTTCATGTGTACTAAATATTCAAATGTTCTGCTTTATTCTGCTTTGTCAAAACTGTTTTGGACTTTCTATTGTCTTTGTATTTGAACTTTTGAATAAATTTATCAATTTCTACAATATAACAACAAAACCCTTGGTAAGACTTTGTTCTATATTTATTTTATTTTTGTGTATAGCATCACATGCATGAAGTTCCTTTGGAGGCCAGAAGAAGATGTTGACTTCTCTGGGACCATCACCATGTTGTAGGTGTTGTGAACCAAACCCAGGTCTTCTTCAAAAGTCACAAGTGATCTTAACTGATGAACCATCTATTAAACCAAACCTAACTAGTTTTTTATTTTTAAAAAAATAGGAATCTAATTCCTGAATCTTTAAACAGATTGTAAAGAACTGAAATTGTTAACATTAGGAATTCTGACCATGATTAAAAAATAAATTTGTTGGGAGTTTGGTTTTGAAATCAAGAATCTTATGGAACCACTAAGTAAGTTGGAAAAATCATGTTTCCTGACATAGTAAATTAAATTCTAACTATTTTACAAGAAAAAAAATAGCAATAGCAGTCAAGTTCAAGAAAAGCATGGCAATTAAATTTGACATATGATATCTTGTAATTTCTGAGGTAGTGTGAGATATGGGGAACAAAATTTACTCTTAGGATAAGACAAAAATGTTTCAGTAGCAAACACTAAGCTCTAAAAGTAAATGATAAGGGAAAGTATAAATTAGCTTCCTGCATACAGGAAAATTTTAGTTTCTCAGGCTCCTTGAGACATTTGCATCTATCCATTTTTAACTATTATAACATTTTGACTGTTCAGTGCAATCACAGCCAAAGGTCACTTCTTAACCACACATATTTGCAATGTAGGGGTGATGATGCATCAGCTGATAAAACCCAGCAGACCACAATCCCCCTGGAGTTACAGGAAAAGCTTCAAGTTCACGTGATTTTCTTCCCTAGACCCTTCTATTCAAGAAGTAGAATTCTTCACTAGAGCCCTCTATTCAAGATGTAGAATTCATTCTGTTTCAGATTTTGAAATGTCATTTACTACAATATGTTAAATAGCTCCACATAGCCCAAAGAATCAAAGAGGCAAATCTGGACTGTCTCTCCAGGCCCCTATCTTCAACAAGCATCTAAGAGACACAGCAATGACTCAGGGGATGCCTGGCTGCCTCTGTATTTGGCTTACAGAGGACATGTCAGGTAGTGAGAGCAGAACTTCATCACTGCAACCTAAGGGACTTACACTTTCATGGTCTTCCTCATCAGACCAAACTAGTCACTCGATTTTCTGCTGTTTTGTGTTCCATTCCTCCAAACAGGTGCTTCTTTCAACAGGGTTTATAAGAACAGTGGAGGTTTCTTACAGTGTTCCCTATGTTCGAAGTTCCCCAAGACTAAAGAAGCTGCCCAAAAGGAACTGAGCAGCAGGGATACAACATTCTTCAAGGAACTCTCTAGGTTAATGTCAGCCACAGAATCATTTTAGAATGGGAGCTAAAAGAAATCGTTCAAATTTTATTTGGAAGTGTCTTCTAAATTTTCGTTCATTGCTCATTGGGAGGACATAAAATTAATATATTCTTCTCTACAGCATTAAAAATAAAAACTACATTGAAAATTTATCGATGCTTTTCACTTAGCAAAGTTAAGAATTGTTTAGTAGAAAGTTTCTCTTAATTACACATGCACTGAGATTGTATGTACATGTAACATGCTTTAAATGTCCTGGGTCACAAAGTAAAATGCATTTGTTTCCTGACTCATGATGAAAATATTAGTAACTATGTAAATTGAAATACTACTCAAATACAGACTCTTCACTTGACATTCAATAGTGAGGAAAGAAAAAAGTAAAATCTTAGTTGTGTGTAATGAAAAGGGGTTAACACAATAAATGTATGTCTTTTTCACACACATTCAGCTCCTGGTCTCATGGGTTGTTTGAAAGTTGTGGTTTTTCTCACATTAGACACATGGTCTACTGCTGAACTATAGACAGCTCTTTTAAATTTTCATATTTTTAGTTTGAGACAGAGTGTTGCTAAGTTTCTCGGGTTATCTCTGAGTTCACTCTGTAGGCCTTGAATTTGTGAGTCTTCTGCTTTAGCCTCCTGCATAGCTGAGTTTCCAGGCATGCACCACCAGGGCTAGTATCGATCCCTCAGTCGTATCATTCATTTTATTGGCATAAGCCATTGCTATTTTTCTACGCAGTCCTATTTCTATATTAGCTCACTGTGATTATCTAATGTATTGAATGAATTAGTATGCCACAAAGTGTTACAAACTTAATAGCAGCACACAGAATGAGGTATTAATAGCTATCACTTGTACTTAAAGCTAGTCTTAATGTTTGATATGTGAGCCCTGGAGAAACAAGAAGTCTGTGTTATTTTGTTTTGGTATCTTGTGGACTCCAGCAATTTTGAGCCTATATTAAGAACTGAAGAAGCAAGTCTGGAGAGATGGCTCAGTAGTTAGGAGACTATTGCTCTTCCAAAGGACCCAAGTTCAGTTCCTAGCCACCGCGTCAGGTAGATTACAACTTCAGTTCTGGGAGATCGAAGGCCTCTGGCCTCTATATACACCCATAATTTAAAATAATAAAAAAAGATTCTTTGCAAAATAAATTGCAAAAGAGGTAATTGAATAAATTATAAACATAATCATGAAAAATATTCATATTTCAATAGGACTTTAAAGTTGTAATCTGCCTTACTATATAAAAATACAACAGTATTTTCTTTGCCTGAGTATGCTTTCATTCTGTTTGTTTCTATCAAAGTATAAAGTTTTAAAGAAAAACATTGAGTATATTTTTTCCAAAGAAAGCTTCTATAAGTTGAAATAAAATACAAAAAAATTAGTTTTTCTATCCCAACTAGTGATTCTTCTGCAATATAAAATTAAGCAAAAGATTATTACTTATTGGTATTTTTGCATGAATGGTTACCAACTTTCCAAATAATAGGTAGTTATTTTCAAGAAGATATAAATTTTATATTCCTAGTGTTGTGTGACAGACTTTTCCTGGGGAGATACAACAGACATGTGGCTCACCCCAATTAGGAAACTGATGACATGCCAAAGTATGGATACCATTTGTGCTGGCTAGTTTTATGTCAACCTGACACAAGCTAGAGTTACTTGAGAAGAGAAAACCTCAGTCGAGAAAAATAAGGTGGGGCTGTAGAAAACCCCGTTGGGCATTCTTAGTAAGTGATTGGAAGAGGAGGACCGAGCCATTTGTGGGTGGAGCCATCCCTGGGCCATTGGTTCTTGGTTCTATAAGAAAGCAGGCTGAGAAGGCAATGAGGAGCAAACCAGTAAGTAGCACTTCTCAATAGCCTCTGCATCATCTCCTGACTCCAGGTTCTAATCTAGCTTTTGGTGATAGTGTTTCATAGCGGCAAAAGTAACCTTAACAGTGAAACCACCAGAGTCCAGTTGGGTAAAACAGTGAATTTTATTGTGGTTACTTAAAGGAGCAGAAATGACTAAAAAAACAGTTATATCACCAAAGCACGCCTCAGACTGGGTAAAAGTTCACAAAATCTGGAAACCTAGAATATACAGCTACCTACCTATAACGGGCTTTCTTTGGGGCCACCAGCCAGCTCCCAAATCATGACATGGAGACTTATGATTAGTTATAAATACTTAGCTTTATCCTATGCTTGTTCCCAGCTAGCTCTTATAACTTAATTTAACCTGTTTCTCTTTATCTAGATTTTGTCTCAGGGCATTTTACTTTTCTTTCATTCTGTATGTCCTACTCCATGTCTGTCTGACTGGCAGCTTCCTGGTTGGCCCCAATCTCCATCTCTTGTTCTCCTCATTCTCCGCAGCCTAGTTTCCTTCTCCTACTTAATCTCTCTCTGCCTGTCATTCCCACCTATATCTCTACTGCCTAGTTATTGGCCATTCAACTTTTTATTAGACCAATCAGGTGCCTTGGGCAGGCAAAGAGAAACAGCAACACATCTTTACCCAATTAAACAAATACTGCATAAACAAATGTAGCACATCTTTACAGCAATAAACAAATGCAGTATAAACAAATGTCACAGAGCTCTACTTAGTTAAAGTAATATTCGACAACATAAGCTCCCAACTCAACAGATTGAAAACAATCCTTTCCAGGTAGCAGAGTTGGCTTGTGTGTCTTCCAGGGACTAAGCTTTTCCTTCTCGTGGGCAGTTCTACTGTCAATTTGTTCAGGTGACTGGATTTGCCTGACAGGAACTCTCAGCTGTCTTTACTGTTTATTTACTCTTGGGGAAGTGGGGGGGAACCTCATGAATCTGGTTATTTTCAGGGACTCCCTGAAGCTATCTTGAGTTCTTTTCTTCCTGTCTTAAAGGCTTCCCTGTAGGATGGAGCATATAACTTTCTGTTAGAATAATCTGTTGTTTCATCATTTTACCTTCTCATAACATTGTATCATAAAATATGCCATTGTTTTACTTCTCCTTTATATCTATGCCTTAACATGTTTCCCTCAGAAATGGAAGGCCTTTTAACCTTAGAGGAAACTGCCACACATCTAGTCTTGGTTTTAATTGAATTTCCTGAAGTCATGAGTTGAAGTTTTTTCTGACTTGGAACATAATAATAGCTCTAGCATCAGTAATGAGGAGGTTTACCTAATCTTTTTGCAGTATTGATGCATACTGTTAATGAGTTATACATATAAATTTAACATAGGGAATTTATTATATAATATTAAAATATATTTTTAAAGTTTGGCGATAAAGAAGGCCAAAATGAAGTGGACAGCAGCATCAGAATCAAAGAAAATGGAATATAAATGGTCTAAGTCATTCAGAGATTCCTAAGTTCCATTAGCAGTTCTCTGTTTCACAAGGATGCTCAATAAATGCAGAATGAAAGGGCCTAGACCTTGACAAAGGAACCCAGAACCTGTGATGTGGACTTCTAAAGTTTGCTTTCAACAATGAGTATTTTTTTTTTAGTCTCCACTTTGTTATACTGTGTTGACTCTCGTCATTGCCAATAGTATTTCATTTTTCTTATGAAGAGTGTGACTATAAACAAAAAGGACAAAGCATTTCCTTACTGCTATATGAGATCATTTTTTTTCAGCAGGTGAACCTTGCTATAACATGCCTAGAAGAAGAGTGTAGAAAGTGATCAGATAAGGCGAGAAGTGAAGATGAGAAATTAGTGACCAGGGTTGAGAACAGTCTTAAGAACTGGCACTTTTCCAAGACTGCTTTGTCCTTCTCAGTGTATAGTGTTTAATGCCAACAACTTCTATCTCTGAAAGACATCCAAACTAATAGTGGAAGAAGTTTTAAAGTAATATGTTTCTAATAAATTAAAAGCTTCACTAGATAAGGGTAGAGTGCTGGTATTTGCTTGGCTGTAGGGTGTGCTTGTTCAGTATGACACGAAATCTACATGCTTTGG